ATAAAGATTAAACAAAATATCAATTTCAGAGCTATTAATGAGATGTATATTTAAATCTAAGAAGCTACTCATAGAAATATAAATTAAAAATATTTAAGACAATCTTCAGCTACGTATTCTTTATAATTGAATATTTTCTAGTTAGCAAGTTTTATTCATTTGATTTTTCCTGTTGATGTTGTAAGAGAAGGAGGAGGATTTTCAAAATCAATATTAATAATTAAAAATAGATTATACATATTCCCATATTGTAAAAAAGGCCAGTAAATCTTCAATGCAAATAAAAATTATACAAATGCTAAATTAGATATTTAGGAAAATACCACAAAAAATTTAGATAACTAATTAGTTTCCAGGTATAATTTTACTGCTTGCTTTAGGCTTACAACAAATCTCTTGAATTAATGAAAGAAAAATGGAACTAAAATATTTCTTAAAAGAAATTATTTTTAGCATGCCATCTAAATACTGGTATTGTGTTTTTTCTTTCAATTCTGTGTAGTTGCCTTGATCGATATTAGTACTTAGTATCACTGGCTGCCATACTAATGGGCCCAGGTTTGAATCCCAGAGAAGGCATGGACATTTGTAAATATACAGTATCTGTGTGGTATGCTAGATAGTATGCAACTGCATGTGATATGCAGTGCTCAATAATTCTTTTCCCAACAGACACCATTGTTGTCTTGGCCTATGTATTCTTCCTGCATGTCACTCATCAAACACATATCAATGGTCAACATATGAGTGGAGCTATGCTAAAAGAATTTTGATAACATATGAAAACAGCATGAACTCACATACATTAAGCTAATTTGAATCTTTCTTTCAATGCATGTCACAGTAATTATTGCCAGTTATGGTGGTAAAAAAAATGCTTTTTTATTTGTGTTCTGCAAGTTGAAAAGGTCTGTAATTTTAATAATTTTTTTTTTCTTGTACTATATACTAATGGGCTAATAAATATGGTTTTGATATTCCCTGTTCTTCATAGTTTTACATTTTGGATGGCAAACCGTGTATATTTCCTTAACTGATAAAGACAATATTTTAACTACAAATATAACTATGAATACTGAAAATCTTGTAAACAGTTTAAAATCATGATAAAGTGAAATTTTTATTATTATTGATGCCTAAAAACTATAAAAAATATTGGTAGATTAAGAAGAATTCAATAAGGTTAAGTTTTTGGAGAATTTCTATGGAATCTGTTTAGAATATAACAAAAAGTGCTTTTTGGAAAGTACTGAAAATTTATGTGGATTCTATTGAGCATCAAATGGAAAGAAATAGAGATCAGCAAGGCACAGGGATTTTTCCTTTTCAATGAAACAGTAAAAACACATATGTCTGATTAGCAGTCTTTTCATAAAATCTATAACTGTGGGGCAATCAGATATGTGGAATGAACAAAATATTCCTGTGCCTGATAGATAGGTACAAATTATTTTTGGAAATGAATAAAATATGTCTAGATTTTTTTAAAGATTTTTGTAATGCTACAGAGTTTATTCTCAAATGAAAACATTCATACCTCAATAGGAGCCAATAATTTTTGGAATGTCATTAAGTCAAAAGTAGAAAAATAACCAAAACACCAAACTGTACAGAATATAAGATAATGATGGGAATAAAATGAAAGATGTAGTATCATCAAATGTTTGCTTTGGCACTACTGTGAAAATGTTATCAAATTTAGAGTATTTAGGAATTACAGACTCAAATAAGCTATCAAGTGCAAATGAGAATTTAATTAAATAGTTTGACAATGATTTAAGTTTGTGTATGAAAGATAATGAAACTTGTTTGTGATGGAAAACCAATTCAACTGATTTAACAAACAATTTCTATGTAGCTAAAAGGAGGAGCTTGACGATTTAAAAAATAATTTCTAAAATAATGAATGGTTTGCAAATGAATATAAAATAAATAATTAAATATCAGCTGAATAAAGAAATTATTGAAGAATGTTTTAGATATGTTAAAGAGTATTTCATGTCACACAGAGTAGTTTTGAGAGCCAATACAGATATTAGTAAAGTCTGCATGGCATTTATTTGTAATTCAAAACTAAATCTTTCTTTCAAAGTTTCTTTAGAAAGGGATCTAAGCTGAAACCTCACAGTACTGGACATTATTTTAAATTTCAGGAAATTTCTAAAGTTTTTGTGGTTACCAGCAGGGCTGTGGAGTCGGGCCAATTTTGGGGTAAAAGAAGTCAGAGCTGGAGTCGCTAAAAACAGGTCGACTCCAACTCCTGTTTTTGTTAGGAAGTTTGAATTTGAAATGAAATTAAAATGAATTGAAAGAAAAATTAATGACAAGCTGAGTTATTATTTTTATTTATGAACTATATATATTAATAAATGGTTATTTTCTATTTTATTGACATATTAATAAATAAATATAAGGGAAGATGATGTATGTGATATTTGCCATTAGTGATTAAACTAATTAATTTAGTTACAAATATCACTGGTAAATTTAGGTAAGCAGCAATAGCAGCAAGAACTCCCAAAATTGATGCCATTCTTAGTAAGGGAGCAGGAAAAGGAGCAATTATTGATCAAGCAATGCGATAAGGAAGTGCATATTTGATGATAAAGAGGTTGTTAGAATTAAGAATTTTTTAGAAGATGTAGATAACTCTAATGTTTCACTAACAGAAAGACTGTGGAATGATCTTGCAGAATTGGAACCTCTTCTTTCTACACTAGTTACAAAAACGCTGTAGTCTGAAGAATTGACAGGAGGCAAGAATGGAAGAATGTGATGTTTATTCTTTCTGAAATGGAGGGCTTTTTGCAGAAGGCTTGGTTTGGTTTATTTAATTATGGCAAAGCACACTAGGGCTATCTGCCTAAGGGGAGGGATGCCTTCGTGGAGGACTTTCTAAGGGAAACTGTCTCGTATACACATTACACATGGGGAAAACCACGAAAACGCCCATGCAGCCAGCCCGTTCGGGGGATTCGAACCTCAGACCGAACTACCAGTTTTCAGCGACTTTACCGCTCGGCCGCTGGTGGGCCCTCTTTTTGCAGAAGGAATCATTTCTTCAATGAAGAAAAGAGAAACTACTTTGCTAGACAATGAGATCTTGTTGGGGGTCAATATATGTAGATCCAAAACACTAAATTTTCTTAGATGACGAACAAATTAAAACCGCAAAGAAAGCCATCTATAAACTTTCATTAAGAATGAAATTATTCTCAGAACAATTGGAGAATTTGAATCGGGACAGTCAAACTGCAGGCATTGCAATTGAAACTCTATCATCCTCTTCCAGTGATGAATTAGATTTTGAGAAATATTTTTGGATAATATTTGAAAAGGCTAAGGCAAAGCGAATGGAAATAAAGAACCAAGAGCCTTTCGATATAAAAATGAAAAAATACAAACAAGATTTCTACATGGCCTTTGAAGAAATAGAGAAATATGATTGCGCTTGTAAGACACCTCTTTTAGAATTTATAAAAATCTATCCTGAAAAGTTAAAAGAAGTAGCCCTAACAGTAACAGCTCTTCCTCCTACTCAAGATAGTGTAGAAAGACTCTTCTCAGCTCTGAAGTTTATCAAATCGGATCTATGCCCTTCCAATAAAGATCTTGTCGAAGCTATACTGTTTCTTAGAAATAACTAATGCCAGTGTTTCCATTTCATAATAAATGTTAATTAATATAAATAATTTGCTATGCCATCAATTTTTTTCTATAGCATCTATTACGTCTTTCATATTAAAAAAAAATAAGCTGTAACCCATGCGTATATGTTTACATATATATGAGGGAGTCGGAGTCTTTAAAATTCAGGGAGTCGGAGTTGGTCATTTTCCCTACCGACTCCATAGCTCTGGTTACCAGATATTGTTGAATGGGGAGTACAAAATACTGTGTATGAGGCAAGTGATTTGGTTGTAAATCATCACTATTTACTTTAAGTACAATGGTGTGTGGTGTGGTGTATTGTATTTAATTATGGCAAAGCACACTAGGGCTATCTGCCTGAGGGGACGGATGCCTTTCGTGGAGGACTTTCTAAGGGAAACTGACTCGTATACATGTTACACATGGGGAAAACCACAAAAACACCCATGCAGCCAGCCCATTCGCGGGATTCGAACCTCGGACCGAACTACCAGTGTTCAGCGACTTTACCGCTCGGCCGCTGGTCGGCCTTTAAGTACAATGATAAAAACTTTAAGGAATGTGGTAAAAATAATCTTGAATCTGTGAAAATACTGACTTCATTACTTTACACACATAATTTACAATTTGGGTGAATTGATGTTGAAGAAGTGTTTTAACTGTTTCCAGAAGTTGCATTGATTTTGAAGGATGCAGAAATAAATTTGCATAGGCTATTTCATTCTCTGTTGCCTTTTTTTGACACACACACATTTTCTTGAAGTTCTGTCATAGCAAATACACAGGATGTTTTAATATTCATTTTTGTGGTGATATGGCTTTTAAGGATTTTCTGCTATTAATCTACTGATGTGTTTGCCTTCTCCCATTTTGCTTTCACACATTACAAATTTCCTCATATTGTCTTTTTATACTTATTTTTTATTTAATAATCTGTCTATCCAAGTTGATTCTAATTGTCATATCTTCTATAAATAATAAAAAGTCATTACTTAAATACTTTCATTTTCTGTCTACATAGCAAACTTGCATTTATGTATATCTACATACATAATATGTACACATGAATTTTGGCTCCTTGGTGTGTAAATTCAAAATTGCTAATATACATTCTCCTCCTAATTCTCTCTTTTATACTGGCCTATTGCACTATTATAAATTCTAATATGATAAAGAAATTACTATAAAATTAAGATACATTTTGCTAAAAATAAAGTGTTCTGCTTTCTCATGTTTTCAAGATCAGGTAGACTAACTATAACAGATTAGTAAGTTCAATTAAAAAAAAGTAGCATTCATATGATTCCTTTCCAAGTTACGTTTCTAAAAAATAAATAAAGTACACTTACAATTTGCCAATACCCTTCACAGGAAGCAGATATTCTTGCTGAATACTCATCATCAACCAGAACTGAATTACTTTCATCAGGATACTGAAATCTTGAATCCCATGGATAAGAATAGCCATCTACTTCTCCATCTGCCTTAATTTCCTGTCCTTCCGCATGACCACGGTAACTCAGCTCTCCATGAGGCAATGTAGGTCTCATGTATTGTTGATTACCTTGGATTTCAGCATTGTTAGGATTGTTATAATTCTGCTTTGCTAAGAAAGCTTCCCAATCACTTGCATAACCATCATGATAGCCTTGACCATACTGATCTCTTTCGGCAAGATACACTTCATGATCACTGCGATAACCCCTATCACTATCACCACTTCCTTGTCTTAAAAGCCTCTGGCGCATCCATGTGTCTCTTTTTCCAGCAGAAGGAGGAATATTTTTCTTAAAATGAGCATCTTTATCTGTTTTGGAGACATGAGAATATCCATCACTCAGCCCACCATCTGGAGTAGACTTAGGTGATCCAGCTGCTGAAGTTGATGTGTTTTCACTAGATGATCCATCTCCTCGAGAGTCTATAATTTTTTAATGGAGAGAGAAAAGTTGGTTATTTCTAATGTGATATAATAAACAATATATCTGAAATTTATATGCTTTGGAAAATTTCATTTTTAAAAAGAAAATCAACAAGCAACTACTGGCTGCATTATATGCATACAGAAAGTACTGAATCATTCATAACATAACATTCAGCATTTGATGAAAATTAACAGTTGATCCGCACCTGCTATACAAATTATGTGATCATCAAACAAACAAAAACTGACTCGTATACACGTTACACTCGTATACACTCGTATACACGTATTTTTGGTTAATTTATATTGCTTGTTTAAAAATAAAACTAATAATGGTAAGAAATGACTTTTACATAATTAATATGTGTAATTTTTTGGCAATGACATAAAGATCAATAAAAGGTGAAGTTTTATAATAAACATCTAATTTTTTCCTTAAAAATACTATAATTATTTATTGGAATATTCATCACTTCAAGTTTGATGTTGTCAGGGTACCCATTTAAAGATTTATTTAAAATATCTCTAGCCAAAGAAAGGCCCTCCAGTGGTAAAGTCGCTGAACACTGGTAGTTTGGTCTGAGGTTCGAAACCCAGTAAGCAGGCTGACTGTATGGGTATTTTCGTGCTTTTCCCATGTGTAACAAGTATATGAACCAGTTTCCTTTATAAAGGTCCTCCAAAAATACATCCCTCCCCTTAGGCAGATAACCTTTGAGTGCTTTGCTGTAATCAAATAAATTAAAACGAATCAACCAGTCAAAGAAATGATAACCATAAGTTTTTTTCATAAACCAAATGACTTAATGTTCATATCAATAACCCAAATATAGTTGTTTAAAGATTTGACCACATTTTGAAAAGTTTTTAATCATGACAAAACCAGATGTATGCAACAGAGAAAAAAGATTAAGATAGTTATCCATCTATTTATACAGCAAATACAGATTCAGAATTGTAACATATTAGTACAAAGTGATGGTTCCTCTGATGGCAATGCATGAGCCATACAAGCTGACATGATCTCATACAAATACTGAGTACTGTGCTGTGCAATTTCCTGCATATATTCTGTATTAGCTGCAAATTCATGCATATTCTATAAATGCTAAAAAGAAAAAAATGTTTTGAAGGTCTAGCAAACCAAGTGGAGCTGTGTCATTATACAGACTTTCCAGGGAAATATTTGCTGAATCTGGATGGGCATTATATTGATGAAAGTGATATTGGCAATACTAAATACTATAGTACTAACAACAAAAAACACAATTTCAAGATGTTGCTGATGTGCGATCTAGCCAATGAAATGATGCAAATGGTCTTTAAAAATGACTAGGTATTACCAGTATTAATTTCTCAAAAGTGAATGCCAGGTGTGCTGGACATGTGTTGTTCCACAATGACAGGGATAAGCAGAGCTAGCCAGGCTTTCCCCATACATGAACTCTCAGGTAACCTAATCCAAGCAAAAACTGTGACTCACTGGGATATGAAACAGTTCCATTTCAACCTTTATGGCTCCATATACACCAAGACCAGGGAGGGGAAAAAAGTCCAAGGTTAATGGCAGTATTTCAATAGACACCTGTAATAAGCTCCAACCTGTACCAGCCTTCTTTCAAAGGTGCTTTGTGACACCACGTGCAGTAGTTCAAAAAGCCAAAAAGGAAAGCCGTTAGTAAGTAATTTAAATTGTTGGTGTGATAACATTAATGATTGCACAACTTTTTTTTAGAAATCGTGATCCTAGGCCTGCAGCTATTTTTACAACAGTTATGTAGAAAATTTGTTGGAACTAATGGTAAGACAACCATCTGATTGTGTCATCACTCTAGCCCTTGTGATGAATGATTTGTTAATTAACCAGATATTTAAAGGTTAAGATGCAATCTTTGTCAAATTCATTCAGCTGACCATATCACTGTCAAATGGATCTTAGCGGCATTTACATTTGCTTATATTACAAGGAACACTATCACATAGACAATGCAATTTATATCTGTTTTGATATGTAAGCTATGTGTTTTTCTGTTATTTGCATACTGTTTTTAGACTGTCAGACATTCTTCTACATCAATAGAGAAGAGAAACATGCCTAAGTAAAACTTAAAATTTTCTGGATGCACAGATTTTTTTTTATTTAGAGTAGGCCAAAATCTTGAACATTAAAAATCTGCAACTGCGATGAAACATAAGAAATAATACTTTCTTTTAGCAACAAACTATTCATTCTGGTAAAAACACATAAAATTCCTCCACTGTCTTGCATGCTAATTATATGCTTCATAATTTTTAAAATATTATATGCATAATAATCATAAAAGCATTTCTCAATAAGATACATTTTAATCCTTTTGGTCCAAATGGGCACATACGTCCCAGATATTAGATTTCATGCCCTATTGGGTAACTAAAACCCACTTTTAACTGGTTTTTTATGTTTGCAGCTTTTAAGGAATTATGGAACAAATACAGTCAAAAGTCGTTAATTCGGACACCCATAATTCGGAATGATCTATAATCCGGACCTCAAAGCTACAAACTTTCTGCGCATGCCTCGCATTGACGCATGCACATAAGACCTTTATTGCTGCGAATATGCGTGTGCGCATGCTCATAATATGTTTACGCATGCGCGTTTAATGTATAAGGGACGGTATAAACTAAAATTATCTATTTCAGTTAATGTTGCAGATTGCGTTGTTCCTTAATCTTCGAATTGGATCTGGCTTATTATTTTTTGCAGACTGTTAGAGCAATTTTATAAAAGTTAGCTTGAACTTTCGATTATGTCAAATAGAATTTGCGATATATATTTACTAATATGTAAAGGATCTACAAAGCGAAAATATGTTTCGAAGTCCATTAAACAAAAAGTGGAATTGCTGCAAAAAAATGGATAAAGGCATATCCTTCATTTCTCTAACCATTTCGAAATCTGTTTATCAATTTCACCCTGCTCTGGGGGGGGGGACACCGCAGCGCGCAGTGAATTGGAAGTTGATCTGTCAGCACTATCCTTATCTTCAGGGCAGATGTTTTTATTTTATTTGGCTTATAATTCCTTAATAAATGTAGAATTTCATCTCGATGTACTCCGTCTTTGATATGATTTAAATTCTTCATCATTATAATTCACTTCCGATAGTGAAGAAAGTGACATAGAGGTTACTGAAAATGAAAAAATTTTGATTGACAAATTCAGTATTCTCAACACAGCAATTATAGAACTTGAACAGCGGAACTTTGTAACTGAACATGAAATTATGTCTGTTTATAGAATTAAAGAGAAAGTATTATCACATAAAATGAAGCAACTTAAACAACTTACATTGAAAGAAATGTTTAATAAAATAAACAAATAAATATTAAGCTTTTTTTTTTTTTTTTTTTTTTTGTAAATTTTGATACCCTTTATATCATAATTGCTCTTTATTTCATAAATTACGGTTTCATATTTTTAATTTTATAATTTCTGCATGCCATCTTACCAGATTAAAACTGATAATCTATAATCCGGAATCGCCGAAGTCCCGACAATTCCGGATTAACGACTTTTGACTGTATATGACCTAGAAACCTGGCAATACTTTTAGATTGCAGATGATACACTTATGTTTTTGGCACGTCGATTACTCAAGTTTTGATTTGTCTATTTTTTTTAAAATTTAACAGTAAGTACAATTATATTTAAGGCATACTTAGTATGAAATAGTTCCTATTGTTTTTATTAAGTAGTAATTTAACATTTTTAAGGTCAGATTTAAGAAATTTTGAATACATTTTTTTTTTTTGTGAGATATATTGTCCCAATTGTATTTAACAGTGGGTTAACATGTCTCATCAATGATCAAATCATTACATGCGGATATGTTATGTTTGTGTTTATGAAACATATATGAAAATTGTTATATATGAATTAGTGCATGTGACAGAGTTTACATTTTGTAATATTCACATTATATAATACCGTAAATGTTAGTTTTGTTTTCTGAGAAAGGGTAATATCCTAGACGATTGGGACAAATAGTCCCAGTTGACAATAGGACTGGGACATATTGTCCCATGAGATTTCCAGGAAATTGAATAAGTTAAAAACTTTAAACTCATATTACACTTCTTTTAGTATGTAAACATTAAATTAAACTACTTTTCGTACTCCCCGACTTTTGCCTGATTAAATTAGTTAATTTTAATCATGCAAAAGTCGAAAGGATTAAGCCAAAATGATAATCATTTACCTATTAAGAATAAGAAATGTAGCTGCCCTACTAATATTGTTAATAGCAGCCTCATGTTTTTGAGAGTGTGTACATGTTTCTGTATATTTTATAGATTTATTTTCTTCATAACTGGATTCATACAAAATTAGGTATCTAAATTAGTTTTGAGATCACATTCTAAAATTATACTATAATGTAGCCCTATATTTATAAAAACAAAATATAAATAATGTAAAGAACATAATTTTTAAAATTCACACCTCGTCTACCTAATACTTTGGGAGGAACCTCAGGATTATGAACTTCATTATTTTGATGATGACTAACCTGCAAAAGAAAAAAAATACAATTTTAACAAATTACAAAACTATAATGGAGAAAGAATGTGAAAATATGAACTATCTGTCTACATTTCTGTAAGTTTCTTTAATATATCTTAATTTTAACGATTACAGCATGCTACCAATATTACCTCTCTGAATACAATTGAAATACAGATAAAAACACATACACACATACAGGGCCAGATTTACATAAGCTATACAAGCTATAGTTTAGAATCCCCACTTTCTTGGGGTCCCTGAAAAAAATTAAAATATAGTATAAATAGTATTAAAATATATTATAACAGACTTATAAAGGGCCCCATATCTCAAATAGCTTATCAAGTCTAAATCTGGCTCTGCACACACATATATAAATAAAACTAAACATGTTAAATTATGACAGATATTATTAAGTCAGATGTAACTATTTAATGATATGTAATTTATTACACTGTAAATGCTCCTAAGGTCTTTCAGTATTGTAAAAAAACAAAATAATCAAAGACTTCTTAATAAATGAATAACAAAATTTCAAACATATGATTTTCAATTTACCTGCAAAGGATTTTGTTCTAAAAATGTATGGGGTTTCATTTCCATCATTTCTTGAGATGACTGATCCTTCATTTAGGAAAAAAAAAAAAAAAAAAAAAAAAAAAAAAAAAAAAAAAAAAAGACAGAAAAGTCATTAAGCATATTTGCTGAAGTATGCATTTCAGTTGTTCAGAATCCTACTATAACAATAAAGAAATCTAATAAAAACTTTTGCAAGCTCTGAAAATAATTTCCCAATCATGTATGTTATAGTACAAAGACCTTTTAGTGGATGTCGGATGGCACTGTTGGTACTATGCACTCTTTCCACATGGTGCAATCTCTGCGGGTCCTAAATTCTGCTACTCAGTACTTCCCTAAATTCTACTGCCCAGTGTCTCTCCCAAATTCTGCCATCTCTAATTTTTGCTGATGTTCCTCTTAATTCTAAAATTTTTGCCACTGGCTAATTCTGATACCCGATGGGGATGCATCAGTTGAATCTGTTCTGGCACTGGCCCTGTGGGAAATTAGCATTTTTCTATCTGACCTATATAATAAGTGATGCCCAACTGTTGCAATGTATATATGTCATATGTCACTAAATTTAAGATAATGATCTAAAATTCAGAATCATTTAAGTCCCGACGATTCTGGATTTTGGCTTGCTTCCAGATCTGTACTAGACTATCAGATTACCTTATATATTATGAATAAGATATTGAATTCCAGATTAACTTAGATAAATGATCTAAATATTATAATTAATATTATTTTTTTAACTAATTATAATTTAGGTCAGTGATGCTCAACTGGTGGTATATGTACCACTGGTGGTATGCAATGAAACAAAGTATTTTAAACTATTAAATTACACACCCCAACATCCTGTTCCAAGTATTTTCTCTAACACTCAGAAATTTATGCGATCTGATAATCCGCTTTTATTTTCAAAAATATTCTTTTAGCCACAGAAACATAACAAAATTTATCATAAGTGATGTTTTTAAAAGAAGTAATAGAAATGAATGTTGTACTTAACAAGAAATAAAGACACAGTAAATATAAAAGACAATAGTTTTTCCTTCATTCTTTTAGAGTTGATCGATTTATTAGCATGTCCACACTTTATGTTGCCACCATTTCTGGGCTGATATCGCTCTATTTTCAATTAGAATAATTTTTTTACGTCAATTTGCTGTCTCTGACAGCAGGTATCTTGTCTTCTTGTTGCTTTGTATTCCTTACTTTTTTATGGGATTTGAGAATATAGTCGTTTCCTTTTGAAAAACTCGTAACATACTGTGTATTTATATATTTGTGAAAAAATAATAAAACAAACCTAGACTTTCAAAATGGAAAAACGGCTAGGATTGACTAAGCAGAAAAATGATGATTCATAGGTGATAGATCCAAGACAATCCACTAGCACTAAGAATATTGAAAAGAAAAGTTGTTTATAGAAAATACAATGACAAGTTATTTATCATTTGGGTTTACTTGTAATGAAGGTGAAATGGACCCTCAACCTCAGTGTGTTATTTGCCGTGAACTATCCAATCAAAGTATGAAACCATCGTTTCTTAAAAGACATCTTGAATCTAAGCATGCCAATTTAAAGGATAAATCTGAAAACTATTTTAAGAGTAAATTATTGGAGTTCACAAATAGTAAACAAGTAAAGAAAGATTTTGTTACTTAAAGTGAAAATTTTTTTTTTCAAATGAATTTCAAAGTTAATCACCTAGCAAGCCTAAGAATTGACAAGATTGGGCAGGCTCACAGTAGGGAGAAAACGTTATACAGTCAAAAGTAGTTAATCCGGACTCGTCGGGACTTGGCGATTCCGGATTATAGATTATCAGTTTAAATCTGGTAAGATGGCATGCAGAAATTATAAAATAAAAAATATGAAACCGTAATTTATGAAATAAAGAACAATTATGATCTAAAGGGTATCAAAATTTACAAAAAGGAGCAGCTTAATATTTATTTGTTTACTTTATTAAACATTTCTTTCAATGTAAGTTGTTTTAAGTTGCTTCGTTTCATGTGATAATACTTTCTCTTTAATTCTATTAAACAGACATAATTCTTGTTTAGTTACAAAGTTCCGCTGTTCAAGTCCTATAATTGCTTTAAATCATATCAAAGACGGAGTACAGTACATCGAGATGAAATACTACATTTAGTATTTCATTACATAAGCCAAATAAAATAAAAACATCTGCCGTGAAGATAAGGATAGTGCTGACAGATCAACTTCCAATTCATCCCCCCCACAGGCGCAGAGCAGCGCGAAATTGATAAACAGATTTTGGAACATACTTTCGCTTTGTAGATTCTTTACATATTAGTAAATATATATCGGAAATTCTATTTGACATAATCGAAAGTTCAAGCTTACTTTTATAAAATTGCTCTAACAGTCTGCAAAAAATAATAAGCTGGATCCAATTCGAAGATTAGGGAACAACGCAATCTGCAACATTAACTGAATTAGATAATTTTAGCTTAGCTTATATCGTCCGTTATACATTAAACACGCATGCGTAAACGTATTATGCGCATGCGCACATGCATATTCGCAGCTGTAAAGGTCTTACGCGCACGCGTAAACGCCTATGCGCATGCGTCAAAGCAATGCATGCGCAGAAAGTTTATAGCTTTGAGGTCCGGATTATAGATCATTCCGGATTATGGGTGTCCGAATTAACGACTTTTGACTGTAATTGACAATTTATGTCTCAGAATGAAATTTCTTGAAATAAGTGCAGTGGACCTTCGGCTTTACCTTGGGCTTTAACAGGAAAACATTCCAGTGTTATTTCTTGAAGGAAGACAGTCACACCTGAAACTAAATTTACTCACTGCTTCATTTATAGGGAAGCTTCAATAGCCAAAACAATCCTCGAAAACCTGAAAACGTTTTGAATCAAGCTGTGAAAATGGTTAATTTTATTAAAAGCTGGGCTTTAAATTCAAGAACATTTACAATTTTATGCAAAGGGATAGGCAGTGAATGTGAAACACAGAAATTCAGATTTTCCTCTCAATTCAAAATTTGAATTGCAGAAATATTTATTTGGTGAATTATGGTTGGCACCTTTAGCATATTTAGCTGATATTTTTGAAAAATTAAATGTATTCAATTTAGGATTACAAGGGCGAAGTGTTAATTTGTTTACCATTAGATATAAAATAAATGCAATGCTTAAAAAAACTCTAGCTAATACTCAAAGAATTGGATAATAATGTTTTAAGCTTTTTACCACTTTTAGAAAGTTTTCTAACTGAAAATAATTTGGAAATAAAAGATTTAGCACCCAACATTAGAAGTCCTTGTTTTTCACTGATAAATAATTTTAAGATGTATTTTCCCAAGGATTACGAAAAAGAAAATTGGATTAGAAATCCAGTTTATTCAAATGTACCTGCAATTTTATCTCATGAAGAAAAGGAACAACTGATAAAAATTTCCTGTGATCGAACTCTAACTGAAGATTTCAAAAATAACACACAGGTTAATTTTTGGCTGAACCGAAAAAAAGAATTTAAAGGCATTTCAAATAAAGCTATGAAATTTTTATTGCCTTTTTGCACAAGCTATTTATGCAAACAAGGATTTTCTTCCATGTTATAACAAAATTTAAGTGGATCCTAATTTACGGTTAAAATTAAGTAAGACTAGAGCTAAAGAAAATGATCTCTCTTAAACAGGCCCAAATTTCCCACTAAATTTTAGAGTTAAAGTATTATAACTTAAATTTTGATCATTAAAATGGTAACCAATTTTTAAGATAATATTTTTTATGTGTCAATATTTAATATAAATAACATATCATAATATAATATTATTGTGTCCATATTTAATATAACATAGATTGTGAAAATGGTAAAACATATATTTTTTAAATATTTCTATTAAGAAAATGAGAAATAATCATTGTAAAATGTAGTGGTGGTACTAAAGCTTTTCAATTTTTGTTTAGATGGTATGCGTTAATCAAAAGATTGAGAACCACTGATTTAGGTAATAAGAGAAGTGGCTAGATGTTTAAAGAATTTAGGGAAAGCTGTCAAACAGATGGAAAGCTGCAAGAGCTGGTGTGTAACACATAATACAATGCCAATCACTCGATGCCAATAAAGATGTTAATACTTATTCATAATTAAATTAATAAAATTACATCAAAAGACAAACGAATAGTAAATAATATAAATAATACAGGTACATTTCTGCTGACACTTAATATTGCCATTGGCCTTTTTCTGTTATCTGCACTACAATAATTGTATTTCGAAGTTGGGAATACTGATCATCTTTATGAAATTTTTTTGCTAATTGATAATAAAAAGTGCGAAGCTGTAAAGTTTTGAATTCCTCATGGATTGTAACATTACGTACATACTATGGTACACAAGTAATTTTGAAGAGAACAGAGTTCTGCACCGTTTATGATTTTTTTCTGTACGATTTACAGGAATAGGCCCAGACTGGAGGGGCATAACAAAGCACAGGATGCAGAATGGATTTATAAATGAGTAAATTCCTTGTTTATAGATAGAACACCATTTTGAGCAATTAAGGCGAAGAGTTTTGCATTAGTACTCGAAACTTATCAATAAGATATCAAACAAAATAATACATAGAAGTACACAATGTTTTCAACTGTTTTAGATGCTTTATTAGATGCTAAACAACATGTTCAATGAATTGTAAAAGCTAAGTAAAATGAATGGATTTAAACACTGCTGCCCTTTTAATGGCAAATCAGCATTGTTTATAACATTCAACCGAAAACAGCAACTAAGATAAAGAAAAATTACTGCCATAAATACAATGAATTTATCATTAGAACAACTGCTTCTTGAAATACAGTATACCGGTTCACCGTTTGCGGCCACGTATGCTCGTGGATTTTGCTGTCAAAGTCTTTTATCATAATTTCGGCAATTTTGTGAATTTCTTGGGCCATTTTTTAGCATAAAAATGCTCACATTCACCCTAACTGGTACATAATTTTAAAATAACAATGTCAGTTATAAGATTTAATTTCTCTTTCCTGCTGATTCACTGCTGACTA